GCTGCTTTAACCCGGACCTGGCCTTCACAGCGTGCACACCACGGTCCCGGGAATGTCTGCCTATGCTGCTCTGCCCCCAAGAATGATCGCGGGCAGCCAAGGTACTGATCATCTGGTTCAGCTTTGGTGGAGTCTTAGTGAGAATATCCCCTCCTGGGCATAGAGACTCGATCACCCTCTGGCTGTCTGGGGTGAGGGCACTGTAGAAGTTCCCCACTGTGAAAGCATCACTGAAGCCATGATGAGGACACTGCCAGAAATATCCCATGTACCGCTCCCATGCATCCCAAAGTGACTCATCTGGCTCTTGGCGGAAGTGAGTGATCTCCCGCTGAATCTCGGTGGTCTTCGATGCCGGATAGTACCTGTGCATGAACTTGTCTGCCAGATCATCCCAAGAAGTGATGGACAATGGGGGCTGGGTCTCCAACCACCTCTTAGCATTCCCCGCCAAAGAATGGGGGAAGAGGTGAAGGCGGATTGCGTCATCCGGGACACCGTTCAGCTTGAACCCGTTCGTCAGCTGCAGAAAACGGGAAAGATGTACTCGGGCCTCCTCATCCTTCAAGCCATGGAACTGGATAGAGGATGTAATGAGTTGAATCCAGCATGGCTTGATCTCGAAGTTGTTTGCTGGAATGGGCGGATAGAGGATGACTGGGCGGATGTCAGCAATCCGTGGAGTGTAGTAGTACTCCAAGGTGGGACCCGGTGGTGGTGGATGATGATGAACCCCAGCTCCCTGGGGATTGGGGTCGTTCCCCAGGAACTGGTTCCCAGGAGGTGGGTTGTGGTCGCCTTCCATCTCGTACTCGTTCTCGGACTCGCTGCTCAATTGGCCATCTCTGCGCTCTTCCGTAGCCAGTCTAGCTCGCTGTTGTCTCCTAAGTTGGCGGCAGGTGCGTTCAAACTCTGGATCCAACGGCAGTAAACCTCCTGACTGGCTACGGGTCATGCACTATCTGCACACACTTAAGCAATGCAAACCCGTGAAGGCACAAGTGGGAAAGAACAAACAACCAATGCAAAAATAAAAATGCTAAAGTAACAGAAATCACTTTTCTTCAACAACCTAGCCGTCCCCGGCAACGACGCCAAAAACTTGACTCACTCCTACTGTCACTCTAGAAAATGGCCAAGTGTAACCACTTCCTAAAGCGTAGTATAGCGGGTTTGGGTTTTAATGTCAACCCGGGTCCTAGATGTGATGACTACTCAGTGAATTCTTGTTATCTAGCAATGAAACTTTAGTGAAGATCTAAACTAACAAGCAAGCAAAGCAACTAAACGGTTGTTTTCAGGTTAAGAGAGGTCACCCGGATATGGTTCCCCCTAGACTGCAGTTAAGCTGGATTGTAATTACCAAGTTCAATTTCTATGATAGTTATACCGCGGAAGGTTCTCAAACAGCCTGAAGTCTCGACTAAAGGTCTTCAGACCCTCTCAATCTTAGTCTCTAGCGGGCGACTAACTTCCACCGGAGTAAACAGATTGAGGCCCTAACGAACCAAACCTCCACTACCGAATGGAATTCGGTACAGAATAGTGAATTGGCTCCTCGACTAAAGTCACCAATTCACTACCTTCGATTAAGGATACTCTATCAACCTAGGCAGATATTATCATTCTAGGTTAAAGCAGAAACAACAGGAATTTGATCAGGATTCATGCCATTCAATCATTCAAACCTCAATCGAATATAATCAAATCATAGAAACAGTAATTGGGTTCATACAATCAATCCTAACATACAGATCTAGGGTTTCCCACACCCAGATGAATGGGAGAACTACTCCATGGAGAAAGAAGCAAAAGCAGAATCAGACGCGGAAATCATACTGTGAAGATGGATTTCTGCTCCTGGACGTTGAATCGGCACTTCTCCAAGCTCAAGCCAAGCTCCAATGGTGTTGAAGATCAAGCTAGGGCACTTGGAGGCTCTTGTTCGTCGCTTTCTCTCTCTAGGAATCGCTCTATCTCTCTAAAACTCGAATCCCCCCTCTTTTGGCTGAAAATCTGCCTAAAAGGGCATCAGTGGCCAAAGCACGGTCGAGGGCACGACCGTGCTTTGCCTCAGCCCGCCCGTGCTTTGGCTAGGGTTAACTACACGGCCACAGAACACGGCCGTATTCTGAAGGCCTCCTGCCCGTGTTTTTACTGCCGAACCTGTTCCCCTATATTCAATGCTTCGTTTCTCCCTCGTCCGGACTCCGAATCAGTCGCCGTTTGATCCCAGACGCTCGTAGTCTCGTCCTCTTTCTTTTCATGACAAGCTTTCACGATTCTTTTTCCATAAAGTGAGGTAGAAATCCATTCTTCTTCAGGTCATGCCAGAGTTTCTTCTCCCGAATCGCCAATTGATCTCTGATTGACTTGAAACTTGCTCCTATGCTTCACTTTATGTGCTAGGACCTGAAACGTAACAAAGGAACACAACCTAGCGTAAAATAGGCCAAAGAAGCGATAATACAAGCTTAAACGATCAAGAAACAAAGGGGAAAAACATGTGTAAATATCGAGTCATCAAAACCCAAACTCAACTATAAGGCTACGGTTATAAAGAAATTAAAAGCGCACCCACCCATGAAATTGGATATTCACGGATATCACGGGTGGGTCGGTTTGGGTTTGAACGGGTAGGTCGGTTTTTGCTTTTTTTTTTCACCCTGCTGTTATGCTTCTGCAACTCGCAACTCTTACAATAATGTCAATAAGACAAAATTTCTAAACGAAGAAAATGATTAGTGGAATCAACCGACACATTTTTTATCGAATGATTTTAACCTCAGAATTTAATCAAAGAGTTCATATATAATGTGCAACTTTCCTCCCATGTGTACTCTCCTCAGTCCTCCCTTTGCAAGTTATTGCTCCTTTTCCCCCTGCTAATGATATAATAATATCATTTTCACACATTATTAATTGTCAGATCAAGTTGCAATATATAAACGAAAAAGGTAGCGTTGTTTTTTTTTTTTGCTTAAAGGGAGGCGACAACCAAGAAACAACAGTGAGGGGAGAGTTACAAAGAAGGAGTCATCACAATCTGGCGCTCAAAAGAAACACTCATAAAATCATCTCGAAGAATCGGCCGAAGCTCCCTTGGCGGGTTAGAGAGTTCATGCATACCGTAGGGATAGACGAGACTGTGCTACGAGAGCCAGTCCGCGACTCTATTCCCTTCTCGGTATGTATGAACAACTCTAACTAGCCAGTCTTGAGCAAGCTTCCTCCTCATAAACTCCAGAAGCGTAGCATACGGATGAATAGGGTCTCGCCGATTGTTGATCAGCTGAATAGCCAGCTGAGAGTCGGTCTCAACGATCAAGTTCTCGCATCTCAACTTCCATGCTAGGTTCAAACCATGATGGAACGCCCATAGCTCTGCCTGAGCTGCCGTAGCCTCGCCAATTTTGGCTACAAAACCTGCAATCCAATTCTCATTCTCGTCTCTAATAACTCCGCCCGCTTCCGCCATGCCTGGGTTACCTGCCGACACGCCGTCGATGTTCAGCTTCAGCCACCCTCGACTGTGTGCGTGCCACTAGACATGAGCTGAAATCCTCTCAATCTGAGCGGCTGGCCTGCCCGGTGAGAGGGAAGGTGCCTGCCAGGTCTTATGCCAAAGTAGCGTCTTGTGTTGAATCGCATGAGCCAGGGTAGGGGCTGAGAAGGCCTTGGAACTCCCTTGAAAGCAAGCTTTGCACCTGTTTTTCCAAATCAGCCAGCACGCCACACTGAAGAAGGTCCGCCAATCCATCCCGGTCTCTATAGTGTCCTCGTTGCTAAGGTTGGATCGGATCCAAGTGTCCTGATCACAGGAGAAGAAGTCTGCCTGTCTCGTGTTCGGCACCTATCTCGACCAGCAAAACTGTGCAGGTGGGCAGTCCCGAAGCGCATATAAAATTGTCTCCGGCCTGTCCTCGCAACGGTAGCAAGCTGGGGATCATGCACAATTCCTGTAAAACTGAAGTGAATTGGTAGCAATCCGATTCAAAGAGACCAGCCACATGAAACATCTCACCCATTCAGTAGTAGGGAGCCTCCATATCCCTTTCCAGAATGAATCATCCTGCTCCAAGCGCTGGTCCAGGAGCATTTGGTAGGCGGTTTTCGTCGTGAAGCGGCCATCCGTCGAGGCGGACCAGAAGAGTCTATCCGCTTTAGTTGATGTCGGGTCCACCATAATTGTCGTCACCTTCTGCACGACATCAGCGGGCAGCAACGAGGAGAGACGCCCGGTATCCCAACTCTCGCTCCTCTTCCCGAATAAGTTGGGTAGCCACCTCAAGGAGCGGCTTCTGCAAAAGCCAATTGTCAAGCCAAAAGTTAGTTATTTTCCCATTATGAATATTCCAAGCACAACCCTTCCTCAACAAATTGGACGCTTTAATGATACTCATCCAAGTGAAAGAACTTCCCTGACAAGAATGGAAAATGTTCAAGTCTTCCCTCTTCTTCCCATACTTAGACCTCATAATCTGAGTCCAAAGAGACTCTTTCTTCTGGAGGATGCGCCATCCACCTTTGGCAAGATGTGCAAGGTTAGCTTGGCGGAGAGACCGGAGGCCTCCTCCTCCTTGCTTCCTAGGCTTAGTGAGTTTGTCCCATGCTACCAGATGCATTTTCCCTTGGTTCTCTTCTTTGCCCCAAATGAAGTCCCTGTTAATCTTGTCAATCGAGTTGCAAACATTCACAGGAATCATCTCAATTTGCATAGTATAAGTAGGGATAGCTAAAGAAACATAGCGAGCAACCGTCAGCCGCGCTGCAAGGGATAAACGTCTAGCTTTCCAAGGGGTGAGCTTCCTTCGAAACTTCAAAAGAAGATCCTAGTATCTACTCTTGGTGACTCTGCCATGGATGGTTTGAATTCCCAGATATCTCCCCAGCTCTTTCGTCAAGGGGATAGAAGCTTTATCGCTTAGCCGTTGGGCTCGAGCGTGGCAGATATTGGGCGAGACATACATGTTAGACTTAGTGTAATTGACTTTTTGCCCAGAGCTCTCACAGAACTCGTCCAAGCACTCGCGTTGTTATGATAGACACATATGCATGTTGGAAGAATTGGAGGCAAACCATTATTATTACATTACATTCCGAACATACGTAGCATGGGCATTTATCACACAAACGTCTTATATTGCTTATCTTACTAATCTATACGCACGAATAATGACGGCAAGAGTCCAAATAAAAATGGAAATAAAAAAAATTTATATATAATTCATTCACAACAACACACGTATATATAATTGTACGCATAATCGCAATTCATCAGAGCTTGGAGGAGGGGGCGTTGCGGGTGTCGGTTGAGAGCTTGATGAGATTCCTCCTGAGGATCTTGCCGGATGGATTTTTGGGTATTGCTGATATGAACTCCACTTCTCTTACCTTCTTGTAAGGAGCAACCTGTAGCACCATCATTGTTATTGCATACACACGTTTTTCATTCTCCAAGTTAGTATCCAGAAGCGTAACGGACTAACGGTGCTTTTTAAAAACAAACGAGTGTGGCCAAAATGGATCAATTATACATGGTGGAGGGGTCAACTAATTACGTAGGGCTTGAAAACGAGTTGCCAGTGCAAAATAATGCATGCATGGGCCAGGATATATAGTTATTGTGTTTGTGTTTCCCGTGTGTATATATATATATAGAGAGGTATGGAAAAAAAAGTGATCAAAGAAAGAAAGAAAGAAAGAAAAATATGTTGTCATTGTTGTTAAAACAATCATAAGGTTTTATTGGATTCCAAAAATGAGTAAAAACACCAATAATTTCATTTGTCGGTTTAATAAATTTCCGCTAATGCACAATGGATTTGAAATTGTATTGTTTGCTTATTGAATTTTGTTAAGAATTTCCACTTGATTAGATACACCTTTTTTAACATGAGATTAGCAAGTTAACCAATATTTTAGATACTCTATTGTATCATTCGGTTTGATCGGAAATACTAGACCGAACCCAAATATGGTAGGCGGGTTTGGTACGAAACGATGATTGAAACACGCTTCAAACCACAACTTTGGTACATCATGTCACTAATTTTTCAGTATAACTTCTCGTATTGTTTCACAATCATTGAAATTAACAGGCTCACGAATTTAAACCTTTAAAATTCCATGAACTCGATAAATTTGATTTCAACAAATTTAGGCAAACAATATCTTTATGCAAATTCCGTGAATTGAAATTGAGACTTAACCAATTTCATCATCTAATATTATGGAACAGACACTCGTAACTTTTTTTTTGGGTCAAATTATGTAGAAAGAATTGATGTTCATAACATTTGATTCTTACCTCTTTTGCGACAAAGGCCATTATGTCAGTCCTTGATAAGTTACTGTCGGCTTTTCTGACCACATATGCCATTGGGTACTGCCCTACTTCCTTGTGCGGAACTCTGGAGAGCCAAAATGGAAGGGGAAAATACCCATTAAAAACTTATAATAATTGCAAGTTAAACTGGAGAAGAAAAAAAAACTTACGGAATTACAGCAGCGTCATCTATTTGTGGATGTGTAAGTAGCACTGCCTCTAATTCTGCCGGCGCGACCTACAGAAGATAAACCATTATGTAATTTTGGTAATTTGTTTGTACATTAAAGCATACAAGCATTAATTTTTTTGCACAACTATCTACCGACCTGATATCCTTTATATTTGATGAGTTCTTTCAACCGGTCAACCACGAAAAGGAAACCTTGGTCATCGATGTAGCAAATATCTCCCGTCTTCAACCATCCTTTTGCATCAAGAGTTGATACAGTTGCTTCTCGATTGTTAAGGTAACCTACAGTGTCAATAAAATCGATCATGCTTATGTACTTCAAATATTTGTCATCCATCGACATACTTGCTTATCATCCGATCCCCTAGCTAATTATTGTTGCCATGCAAAGAACATTTTTATATTAAAGTGGAATATCACATATCCATACTATCTATAACTCGTCCTTCAAATACATCCAATAAAATTGGAACCATAATATCTATGGCTCGCTCACCTTTTACGTTTCCCCGTGGTGGTTTGAACTCAACAACGCATGAAAGATACACATCGTGAATAAAGCGAAGGCCTTCATCCATTAAAACAAAGCTGAAGCTAAAAGCTTCAATAATTGTATTGTTGCCTATCACCCTCATCAAACAGTAATAAATATTATAATAGTAATAAAAAAGGAATACGTCAAAAATAATAATTGTTGCCTATCATTTATGTGGAAAGCTGCTGCCTGCCAGTGCCACCACGCGATTTTGCAACTTTAAACAGGAAACCCCGGCCCCAAATTGTTCGTACGGTCGATGCCATAAAATGGAAAAAGAAAGTTTCTACCGAAAAAAATATAAAGGAAAAAAGAAAATGTTATGTATGTATATTGTGGATCTCAAGGGTAAGTTATTAACGCTCTGTTTGGCAACAAGGGGGTGCAAATTGCAGGAGGGTGCAAGTTGAGGGGTAAATTGTTGGGGGTGCAAATTGCTGGGGGTGTAAGTGGAGGGGTAAATTGTTGTTTGGATGAAAAAGTAGGGGGTGCAAATAGAGTGAAAAGTAAGTAATTATATTATTTTAAAATAGATTTTAAAAATAAATTTTAGATTACAAAATAGATTTTAAAATTTTAAAATATTATCATAAAATAATAAAATAAATATTATTATATAATAATAAATATACTTTACTAAAAATATTTATTATATAATAATGCTCAAATAATAATTAATTATGAAAATTGTATAATCATTGATCGAGCGATCTCAAAACTCGAAGCTCAACTTGTAACTGGTCATCCTATATAGGGTTTTCGTGTCTAGTTTAATTTTAAATTGTCAAACTTAGTCAAACACGTTCGAATTTGTAAGTTTTAACTATTTATTCAAATAAACTGAGTTAACCAAACAATTTCTCTCTATCTTTTTCACAAACACCTCGTATCTCTAATTTTCAATGCAAATTCGATTCAACCAAGAGATCTAGATTTGACTTGACGAACATTGATAAACTTGTTTCCCGAGTCAAATGGTCAACCCCGAATAATGTTTACATTAATGATATTTATAAAAAGAAGAAATTGATAATATTAATTATTATATAATTATATATAACACAATTAGAAAAACAAAATTTCATAATTCCCCCTCCCCCTCTCTTCCTTCCTTCCCTTGCACCCCAATTTGGGGGGTAAGCCGAAACAGTAAATTTGCACTCCCGTTTTGCACCCCCCTACTGTTCCAAATTAACCAAACAGGTGCAAATGTGTTGGAAACTGTATTTACCCCTCACATTTGCACCCTCCTCCCATTTACCCCTCTTCCCAAACAGAGTGTAAAGATAAAATAAAGAGCAAATTTGGTGTAAAATAATGATTTGCATAGACCCGTAAAAATACAGTCACTTTCTGGCATCATATCACATCATACCATATTGTATTATAATTGTATAATATGGTACCACATTCATAAACATCGTATCACCACAATAAAAAGGGATTGTGTACTGCTACACATAACCAGAGGTCATGCACGGTGCACCTACACAATCTTTTGTCGCATAATACAGTAAGAAGTTATCTCATTCAAGTTTGACGTAAGATTTCATTTTAAAAAAATTTCGTTTCAATGGTTTTTACTTTTTAGAATGATATTTATGAAATGTGATTTTAGTTGACTGCCTAAATTTACTTTGTTTGACCGCACTCTTTTTTCTACTTCGTGAAATACAAGTCACAAACATGCGCCTCTCAAGTGTTCAAAAAAAAAAATAATCAAATAATGTAAGACAAGTAGACAACCCCTTTGAGTATAAGATGTTGACTAATAATATGACTAATTAATAGGAAAGTACGATGACATAAAGAACGCTTCATATTTGGTCGACTAAATTTGATTAAGAATAAAGAAAAGAGAAGTAATGGTTGACATAATCCCCTAATTCAATAAGACCTTGATTAGTCCCTTCGGAAAATCCGATAAAACAAGACTTTTGATTAGAGGGAAGTGATGTGTGATGTGATGAAATTACTTCCATTAATTGGTTTGCATGATTCTTGTTGCTTGTTAGGCTTCTCATAATTAACTAGTGTCGACCATTCAGTTTTGATTTAAACGGAAACCTAACCGCTAAGAAGGTCAATGATTTTAGCTTTTTGTTACTACATAATTTTGCAACTTGATGATTTTGGTTTGGATTCTAAATAAACTCATAAAAAAAGATCCCAAAATCATATGGTGAGCATTGTAAGCACGTTGCACATAAGATTAATTTTTTTAATTGTTCAGACCGAATCGATAATTTTTTTTATTAATTTCACTTTCAATTTTTGAAGACTTAATTGTGTTGAGTTTTAGATTTTCCTACTTAACGATTTGATTAACAAAATCAAACGAATGACCTTACTTTATAACAACAAATTCACTCGGAAACTTTATAATTTCCCCTTTTGTCAACTCATCAAGAATCTAACTCAACCAAACCATAAAGACTCACGTCCATTATTAAAATACAGTTTAATGCTACAACTCACAATTTGTTAGAAACTCCCCCCAGCCGTTTGCCAAAAATTCCAACACTACTTGACATTTTGTTAACAAACTGTTGAGTGCAAAGAAACAATTATTGTGAGTTGTTAACAACTTGTTGAGTGCAAAGAAACAATTATTCATTCATCAGCTTATTGAACGAAAATATATTAATGCCATACAAAATAAATAAAAAAAGAAGAGGTCAAGTGTTAAGGAATTAATCAGCATTTAATTAATTACCTTTCATGACATATGGCCCCTTAAGCCAAAGCTCCCCGGTCCTTCTGACTCCCAATCCCTCCCCGCTCTCCGGCGCCACAATCCTCGCCTCCATGTTCGGCAGCAACTTCCCCACCGACCCCGGCCGCCGCTCCACCTCCTCCGCCGTGTCCATCGACGCCGCCCACGGCGACTCCGTCAGCCCGTACGCCTGGCTCACCCTCACCCCAGGGTACGTCGCCGCAAACCCCGCCGCCACCTCCTTGCTCAAAGGCGACGCGCCGCACAGCACGCGCTCCAACGTCCCCAATTCGTACTTCATATTGATTCGATCCGCGTCCTGACAAAATGTTTAGCAAATAGACTGAGTTTACATCTAATAAGCGAAGCTATGATTTGAAATTACGTCTATTTCTTCTAGAGCATAAGAATATAAATGAATATTTGAAACACAAAACAAGAAATAGAAATTACCATTTTTTATCAAAATTTATATGTGTCACGTAACAAGGTCTAGTCACCTAATTAATAAGGTAAATTTTTTTTTTAACTAAGCACAAATTTTTTAATAGATAGAACACCTTAACCATAGATACAAGGATAGGAGGGACCAAGGGCAAGTCAGTCACGCCGAACCTCTCGATGGACGATAACATATCGTCCATCGAGAAGCTCGAAAGCACCACGACGGTGGCCCCGGCCGCGAGCAGGCCCATGGAGAACATCGTGAGGCCGTAGATGTGGAACATCGGGATCGTGCACAGGAATTTGGCGGGAGAAACCTTCCCGCCATCCGCCACGCCGCGCTCAGCGACGGCAATACGGTGCCGTCTCACCACGTTCTGCACAACGGCGATGAGGCTTCGGTGGGACGACAGAACGCCCTTGCTGGCGCCCGTGGTCCCCGAGGAGTACAGCACCGTCGCGACGTCGTTTTGGCTCACCCGATCCCTACTGCTGCTGCTGCCAGCCGGGCACGTGATCATTTTGGTCAACGTGGTGACTATTTTCGTGTTGGACGGGTAACGGTAACGGCGGCTGCAGTCGTCCATGAGGACGACGTCGACGGGGGAGCTGACGGATACGTTAGCGAAGGCGTCGGCGAGTTTCCCGAGGAGGTGGTGGGTGGTGAAGGCGAGGGAGGGCTTGGAATCGGCGATCTGCTTGGCGATTTCGCCCGGGGTGTTGACGGGGTTGACGGTCGTTATGACGGCGCCGACGGAGATGACGGAGAGGGCGACGACGGGGAAGAAGATGGAGTTCGGGGAGAGGAGGAGGACCACGTGTCCCTTCCGGAGTCCCAGCTCGGAGAGCCGAGCGGAGACGGAGCCGACGGCGCGCCAGAGCTGGTGGTAAGTTAGGTGGGTCCCTGTGGCGGCGTCGATGAGGGCTGTCCTTCCGCTGTCGTGGGCGTGGGCGGCGATGAATGTGGCGACGTCGAGGAAGTCCGCCGGAGGGAGTGGGGAGGGGCCGCGCCGGCTGTAGAAGACGGCGTTGGATTGGCAGAAGCCACTGTTTGGGTCGACGGCGGCGGTGGGGACCGCCGGCTCGGCACCGCCGATGAGATTGTCACTTGGCATGTTGTTGTAATTTTGGCTTAAGCTGGTTTGTTTGTGAATGTGGTGTGCAGCTTGGGTTTCTATATATAGTAGCTCAACTTTTTGGGATGATTGATTCAATACCAAACCTAAGAATTTTACATAGAGAGGTATTCTTTTTAAAAAATAATTAATAAAAAATAAATAATAATTAATAAAAAATAAATAATTCTTAAATAAGAAAATATCCAACTAGTACAAGTTAAAAAAAAATCCATGATGTATTTTCATATTCTTAAAAAATTGTAAAATAAACTTGGTGTATGTTGGGGGCATGGGCGCATGGCTTGGGTCAAGTCACGCCAGTAATTACACCGACCGCCACTACGAAGGGATACAAAGTACTAAAGCAAGAGCCGGCCAACCTCCAGCCAAGGGTACTCAAGTAGCCCCGCGCAAACACGTCTTCTCGCGCGGAGTCACTAAAAAAGACCACACCCGCGTAACAACACTACCTGCGGGCAAATAGCGCATTGCGGCACCGTTTCACTGACACCCTATCATGTCTTGCGCCCATAGACCTCATCATACTCTAGGTTCCTGTCCCTTCCAAATGTCATGTCACCTCGGGAACCCACCCACCAGAAGGTAGCCTATAAATAGAGCATGGTGGGTGCATGGGAGATGGATTTTCTTCCTCTCTCTCTTGAAAAACTAGAACTTCTATCTCTAGAATGATTCTCTCTCTCCTTGAGACCCCTTGTAATCGAGAAAAGAAATAAAGGAATAAGGCGGATTGTACACCTTATCTCACTCGCTCCCACAATCATCTTGTCTCACTCCTACCCTTAGTTAGATATAAAAAATTAGCGCTCACCGTTGGGCCGTGAGTGAAACAGTACAATGGCGGAAAAAAACCCCAAACATGCCAGACGAGGCGACACCAATCAAAGCAATGACGAACCCAATACTGTTAGCCGAAGCCACAACCTGACTGCGTTATTAATTGAAGAAGAGGAGCGAGAGTTGACCGCCAAGGAAATACGCCAGCAGATGGCCATACAAATGAAGTGATTGCAGACATGCAAAACAAAATGAATCATGTCATTGCACTAATGATGAAGAAGGAAGCTCCTGTCGTAGAACCGCCAACACCAGTCGAGATACAACCCTCCCCTGCAATCCGTGAACAACAACGAGTGGAGCCGCTGCCAAGAGCAAACCTCAGCTTCCTGGAGCAACACCTACCCCCACACTACCACCCCCAGCCCAAAGTGACCCTCCACCAACCACTGTGCGCCGAAATTATGGAGAAACACCTCAGCTGAATACCACCCGCCCTCCCAACGTATAATGGAACAAAAAACCCGGAGGACCATGTCAGCACTTTCTGCCTCCGAATGCAGCTCCAGAACAACTCAAACGCGACTCTTTGCAGAACCTTCCCGTCAACATTTGCCGGCATCTGCCTCAATTGGTACAACATGCTACCTAATGGGATAATCCATTCCTTTGAAGAGTTCATGCTCCTATTCACAACCAAGTTCTCTTCCCAAAAAGGAGACCACTCCACCTCAAGGCGTTAATCGACATCAAGCAAAAAGATGGGGAGAGCCTAAGGGCGTTTTACGCCAGGTGGTCAAGAGTAGCCATGACAGTGCGAGACCTCACACCCGGAACTGCCGCCCACCACCTCATTGAAGCTACGACCAACATGGAGTTTAAGCGAGCATTGGCAAAAAGACTAGTTGCACTCTCTACAGAGTTGGAAGTCAAGGTGGAGAAAGCCATCACATTGGAGGACACCCTCGGCGCAGGGTCCGTAAGACGCTTCGAACCATCAAGACCAATCAGAGAAGAGCAAGCGCGGTGACAACTCCCCATTTCGCTCGAGCAACTCGCACAACGCCATAGCGAAGCGAACAGATCGCTCGTTCCACCAAAATAAGCAACGCGCAGACGCTCACCCGATAGACGTCCGCAAAACACCTTCACACCCATAAACGACACAGTGAAGAACGTATTCCACCTCATACGCGAGAAAGGTTACCGTCTCAAATGGCCCGCCCCGGTTAAAGCCGCACCCCACATGCGCGACCACAGGAAACACTGTGATCTCCACAGGGAAACAGGTCACATGACGAAATATTTCTTCAACCTCAAAGTCGAGATCGAGGCACTCATTCGAAGAGGGTACTTGGATGAATGTATCCAAGAGACAGAGGGGCGAAAAAACAACGAGCAAGTACCCCCACCACCGCCACAACCTGAGTACGACGACAACAGTGGCGCATATGTCGCGCGTAAAGAAATTGGTGTCGTGACGATCGAAGGAGACATACCCAAGAAAAAGACGAAATTCCCGCTTAGTTGAGCGCGCGACAACAAAACACCCAACCAAAGTGCAACATCAGCTTCGATGACACAGAGCTCCCACAAGGAGTTCCGTCAGAGGATCCACTCAGCATCATCGCCTGTTGGTAGACGAAGGTAGCGCCGCATACATATTATTCAAGAACACTTTGGATTGAATGGACATCGAGTCGCGAATGATTAAGCACACGCAAGGAAATCTGGTGGGATTCTCCGAGACAAGAGTCGCGGTAATTGGAGTAATAACGACCACGAACCACGAACCATGCATCTCAAAATGAGTCGAGTTCACCATCGTGGACTGTAATTCACCGCACAACGGAATCCTACGACGCCTGTTCCTGGCTAAATTCATGGCCTACCATCTACTTGCCATCAGAAGTTGAAATTCCCCACCAACACCGGTACAAGGGAGACTCGTGGATTATCATGGAGTCTTGCCAAGGAAAAAAGGTCAACAAGGCAAACAAACATAATCGACACAAGGGCGGAATAACCGCGCCCAGAGTCCATGGACTCCGATTTCGAGGTCATGCTAGACTCAAGTGAACCTACAAAAAAAAATGCACATCTCTACTCACGTCCACAACGACTTGGTCGAACCGCCATTGAAGCTACTTCAAGAGTACAAGGAACTATTCGGTTGGTGCACCGTAGACATGCCCGGTGTGCCAAGGCAAGTGGTGCAACACAGTCTTTGCAGTGCCCATCAATGCGGAACCACGACAACAAGCTCACCGCTCTTTCATAGGCGAAAAACTAAAGGCTATTGAAGAAGAGGTCACACGAATCCTCTCCACAGGCCTAATACGAGAAGTCAAGTACCCAACATGGCTAGCCAAAGTCGTCTTAGTGAAGAAAACTTCCGGAGCATGGAGGATGTGTGTTAACTACACCACAATCAATAAGGTGTGTCCCGGAGATCCTTGTCTCTTCCCGCGCATTGACCAGCTGATCGACGCCACTTCCAACCACGAGACATTATCCTTTATGGACATGTTCTCAGGGTACTACCAGATTCCGATGAACCCCGAAGATGAGGAAAAAACAGCTTTCATGACCCCATTCGGAAACTTGTGCTTCGTAGGAATGCCCTTCGGCCACAAAAAAAGCGGGAGCCACCTACCTGAGAATGATTGATTCCGTGTTGTATCGGCAGATAGGAAGAAACATCGAAGCCTACGTTGACGAATTCATCGTCAAAAGTAAGGAAGGACGCTTGCATCTACAAGATCTCCGTGAGACGTTTGAGGCACTTCGTAAGCACAGCCTCTGCCTCAACCCTTTGAAGTGTGTATTTGGCGCCGAAGTAGGAAAGTTCTTAGGTTTTATGAAAACCAAACGAGGAATCGAGGTTGATCCGAAATAAATCACAATAGTTCAACAGTTGCGCGCACCCAGGAACGCAACCGAGATACAATCTCTGAACGGGAAGCTGGCCACGCTAGGAAGATTCATTCCAAGGTCAGCTGACAAGTGCGCTCCTTTCTTCCGCACCCTGAAAAGCGGTACCCGATTCGCATGGACACCTGAGTGTGAAAGCTTGTTCAATGAGCTGAAATTGTACCTTGTATCCCCCTGTATTGTCCTCGCCTAAACTTAATGAGAAATTGTTCCTATACTTGGCCGTGTCGTCCAGAGCCGTGAGCGCAGTGCTAATCTCCAGAAGGGAAGTTCAAACAGAGATACCAATATACTACACATCTCGAACGCTGTCAAATGCGGAAACAAGGTAATCGCCAATCGAGAAATCCACCATCACCCTGGTAAACGCATCTCAAAAGCTGCGCCCATACTTCCAAGCTCATTCAGTAACAGTCCTCACCAATCTCCCGCTCAAAAAGATACTAAGCTCAATGGAAGTGCAGGAAGAATGACAAAGTGGGCGGTTGAGTTATCAAATTATGACATCCAATATGCGCCAAGACCCGCAATACAAGCGCAAATATTGGTGGATTTCATCACGGAAGGAATAGTTCTAGACACAGCGCCGGATGGGATGTGGGAAGTATATGTCAATGGAGCCGCCAGCAAACACGGAGCAGGGGCAGGATTCATTGTGCGCACGCCCACAGGGGCAATACATGAAATGGCTATCCGCTTTAGAACACTGAAAACAAATAACGCTTCCGAATACGAGGCCATCTTGGCCGGTCTGGCTGCTGCTAGAGACCTAGGCTTGAAGACCGTTAGAGTGTTATCTGACTCGGCGTTAGCAGTAAATCAACTCAACGACATTTTCGACGCGAAGGAAGATACACTCGCGCAATACGTCGAGCAAGTAAAGGAACAGCCGCGCTGTTTGAAACAGTAACTTATGTGCATATACCGCGCGAAGAAAATATCCACGCGAATGCACTCTCAAAGCTCGCAACCGCCACTGACTTCGAGTCATCGTGGTTAGTATCGGTACAAACAAAGGACCAAGAAACCTAGCAGGTCGGCACGGTCAACGTCACATAGGTAGCAGAGGAAGACGACTTGCGCACGCCAATAGTAGGGTACTTAAATGACGGAATTAGTTAGAAGATCGAAAGGAGGTGTGGGCGCTAAGGCAGAAAGCATCGCATTGTACCCTGATCGGCGGTGAGTTGCATAGGCGTTCACATTCTAGTGTATAACTCAAGTGCGTCGGGACGGTAAAAGCCCAAAGAATAGTACAATATGTATACGAAGGCCTATGCGCAATGCACAGTGGC